CTGACATTGAAGTGGTATTGTGATGGGGTAGGGTAGGTCCTGTGGCCTTCTGCTTGTGGTTTGGCCACTCCTTGCCACCTTACAGTCCATTTAGCCAATCCACATTCCCTTAACTTGCTGGCAAGAATTGTGGAAGATCATATCAAAAGCTTTGCTACAGTCAAGGTATATCACATCCACTGACTTCACCACATCCGTTCTCATCCAGAACCAGTTACCTCATCATAGAATCAGATTGGTCAGGCACGACTTGCCCTTGGTGAATCCATGTTGACTATTCCTGATCATTTTCCTCTCTTCCAAGTGTTTCAAAAAGGATTCTCTGAGGATCCCCTGCATGATTTTCCAGGGACTCTGAGGTAAGAGACATGCCCACATGATGCTTAAGCACTATACTGGCTATACCTCTTAGGGGTGTAACAAAGGGTCCATCATATGAACCTTTGTACCCATTGTGGCCGGGTCAGTCCCACTCCTGGGTCCCAGACCCCTGTTCTATCCACTACCCCACAGTTTAGGGGCCACAGTACAAGTCTCACTCTCCTTGTTTTGGCATTTGGCCTTCTGTCCCTCAGCAAAACAACAGAGTGTTGGGGCCAATGCCCTTGGCCAGTCGGGGCTGAGTAAACAGTCCTCCTCTGGTCACTTGGGGAAAGGGAGTTTCCAAACGCTCCCTGCCCAAGCCCCTCACCTCACCCTGCAGCCTTTAGCAGTGCTGGTGTTGTTCTGCTCAGCTCCTCTGAGTCTCCTTATCAGTTGTTTGTTCCTTTCCACTCTCCCCCTCCCCAGCCCACAGCAAAGGTTTTTAAAGAGGGCGGGTGGCAGCCTGAACAGCTCACCTGGCCCTTCATTGCTTTATAGCAGCCCTATCTCAGCTGCCCCTGATTAACCAGGGCCTTTGCTGTTCCTTTTTTAAGACCTCCTTCTCTCCCCTTCTATCAACCCTCTTAACCTGCCCTGTCATACCATGCACACATTATGCCCTATGCCAGCCCCCAGCTAAGGTGCATGGAAAGGCATGAAAATAATTGTAATAAAAAATATAAATTGGTTAATCGGCATGCAAAAGCTTTTGCAGAGTTCCAAGTTGCTGCAGCTAAGGGATGCTGCTAGCAAAGCTTGTTTGCAATCATACCATTACTTTTAATTCCATTCGATTTGTCACTGACTGCAGAGTTCCCACCGTGTACATGATGTTGGAGGGCTTCTTCTCTTTGAACTTACAGCCTAGGAAGCAAGCCCTGCAAGCTGGGATTCATTCTGTTGCATGCTGCCCTGAAAGCAATACAAAAAGTACGCCCCAAGAATCATTCAAGGCTGGAAAAATACAACCCTAACTAACTGGGGAAAAAATGGATTTATTGTGGAGGGTGGAGCTGTTTGGTTAAATGGTGAAAAATGTCTAAGCATGAAACTGTCTGAGCACCCCAAACAAACCTCCTCCCCTATTTGCTTGACAGTGCCTAAAAAACCCCAGTCCATAGTAAGCAGGTGGTGTGGCCCCACACTGGCTGAGGGTGGGCAGACAGCTTCCTCAGAGTGTCCTGTGTGGGTAGGGAAAAGCCCAATCTGACAACCCTTTTCAGCATGGAGTAGTATTCCTTGCACTGCCTCAGGGGCCAGACTGCTGGCAGCGCTGCCTCCTCTTGGAAGAGTAGCCACTGGCTACCATATTCCCAGTGCAAGATGTGAAGGCATTCGTAGCTGCTGACCCCTATAGAATTGCAGTGACTGCTCTTGGCTCTACTTGCGCATGAAAAGTGCGAGAAGAGTCATTTATGTAATAAGATGTTTGAAAGACACGGGACGTTCCAACGGTAGAATCGTTGCCCTCTGGATTTAAGAGCATACCACAGAGGACAGTCCTGCCCTGGGCAGGGGTCTGGAGGAATTGGCCTAATGGGTCTCTTCTATCCTTAAGTCCATAGGCCAGACTCTAACAGCCTTGTTCTCACTTTGTTCTCTAGGGCTACGTCTACACTGCGTGTTTTTTTTGGCAGAAGATATGCAAATTGAGCACTTATTTGCATATCTCATGCTCTCATTTGCATATCCTTTTCCAAGCCTTTTTGACGAAGAGGTTTTTGTGATTAAAAATCCCTGTGGAGATGGGGGTCATTTGTTGGGGAAAAAAAATGTGCGAGATTCCTCAAAAAATGAGGTTTACAGGCCTTTGCGCAAAAGGGTTTTTTTTCCCAACAAATGGCCCTGTCTACACAGGGCTTTTTATCGCAAAAACATCTTCCACAAAAAGGATCAGAAGAGGATATGCAAACCTCAATGAAATAAAAAAGCTTTTCTAAAATGAGCTCTCACCAAATGCTTCAAGATATTTACATGGTGCTACAATCTCCATGCTGCAGGAAGCAGATTCTTCCAGGGGAGCTAGCTAATTTTAGCTCCGGCTGGGAGCTGATCGGCTATGAGTGTGTGTTTATGGCACTTTCTAACTGCAGAGTTTACAGGGCTTTGTAATGTCAGGGCACCTTCTTGGGTTCTGTTATTTCCCCCCACCCCCCGCAATAGTTCTATGAGTTCTACCATTGACTTCAATGTTAGAAGTTAAGCCAGCAGTGAACAGTTTTGAAATTCCACGTTGGGTTTGTCTTAGTTGCTTAGGATCAGGGATCCCGCAGCGGGCAGTCTTAAAAAAAAAAAAGGGTGCCAAGAGCAAAGAACTAGGAGAACTACATGCCCTCCCCCACACATACAGAGCATCTGCAGCATCCTCTGTGAAATCAACGGGAGAGAAGTGTAATTTCCACTCGTGACATTTTTTAAAAGACTCATTTGTTGTTAATTTTAAAGCAATTCTTTGCTGGGACTGATAGACACAGACAGACCCTGAGCTAAGCACTCAAAGGACCTAAATCTAGCAATGAGATCCATAGGGCACATCCTGTTGATTTTAGTGGAACTTTATGTGGGTGTGAACATTCACCTACGTGGATCTCTTTGCAGAATGAGCGCCAGGGAAGAAAATTCTGGCTCCACGTTATGGAGGATGCTCAGCATTTCTCAGGATCCGGCCCACAGTAACCCCACCTATGTGTTCAGTGAATAAGAGTCTCCCTCGCGGTTACATTGTTTGCGGAAACCACAGAGTACATTTACTTACTGAATTAATACTTGTTCGTGTAACAAGCCAGATTCTGAAATCCTTACTCAAAGATTCCATTTCCTGCAGGAGAAAGGGAAGATTCTATTCCCAAGCACAACTTTCAAATATACCGTTAAGTGGTGCGGTAGCAGCCTTTAGTGAAACCCCCACATTGTTCCAAAAACAAACAAAGTTCTAAGACTGCCGGTAGGAAGGCAATGTCTCTCTATACTACACAGCACAGTCAGTTATCTAGGGCTGCATGAAGAGCTGACATTTTTCTCCTGTAAACATTGCTTCTTGTTAAAAAAATAATCAACTGGACTTTCTTTCTTCCCATTCCCTTTCTGCAAACATTTAAGTGGCTGAGTCCACTAGCAGGAATACTTGCGAAGAGCTGCTTGTAGGTTTGAATCTCCCCTGAAGAGGAATTGCAGATTGCATATCTGAAATGTGCACTGTGACGGTTGGTTACATGATGCATCAGTCATCCAATCGCCAGACTGAAAGTGCGATTGATGTAACAACACAGCCTGCCTTTTGAAATTCACATATCAAATATTTGGGCGTTGTTTGTGGAGGAGAGGAGAAGGCTGAGAAGAAATTCATATACGATTGCAAGATCCTCAGTGTATTTTGTGTGAAGTCTGCTTTGCTAAGATGAGCCAAGTTAAGTTTGACAAATTATTATTTGCTAAGCCCTGTTCCCCTGCTGGCTGTTAATGTCTTGAAAATACTAAATGGAAAAGATCCTTTTGGGAAAAATCCTGGGACAATGTCTGTACTGGGATGGAATGTAGCTGCACCTCTAGGATTGCTTTAGGTTAAATACAGCCCCCCAATAATAAGTAAACAGTTTAAAATCTCCCAGCTAATCACATTCAGATGGGACACCTGCAATGACTTCTGCCCTGTTCATTAAGAGCCTGATCCAAGGCCTATTAAAGTCAGTGGAGAGACTCGTATTGACTACTGCAGGCTTTGGACAGGATCCTTTCTTTGCAGGCCAAGGCCTTACCCAGAGCCATAGGACGAATTGGGGGGTCACCGCTGAGAAGCCACGTGCAGCAGGCCCGGAGAGGCAGCAGAGTGGGATGGAGCAGGCTGCCGGGCCCTTCTGGCTCCTGCCATCTGCGTGGTAGGTGGGGTGGGGGCGGGGAACCCTGTTGCCACCACACCCCCGTAATCCCACAAGCCACGTTGCTTGGGGGAGGAGGCAAGGAAGCAGGGTGCAGGAGAGGTGGGATTTAGGGAAAGGATGGAATGGGGCAGCGGAGAGGTTGCCCTGGGCCCTGCACCTGGAGCGCTGGGGGGGGTACCCCAGCCCCCACCCTTCCCCTCGGCACAGCCCTGGCTTTACCTAGACAAAGCTGTGGGAGACAGCATTGGAACTTCGGCTGGCGTGGGAGTGCAAAAGAGGTATCTCCCCCACGTTCCAGTTCTGCTGCGATTGATAAGCTTCATATTCCGAACCTTATTCTGTGTTCAGATTTTCATTCTTGTAACTAAAGGTCGCTTCAAACTACTTGCCACTCCCCAGGCGCAAGCAGGTAAACTGTTTGGTCCCCTTTTGTTATGGGGCACAGCGAACTAGAAAAGCAGGGGGAGGGACATTCACTTTAAAACCCCCCTCGGCAAGAGGGAAATGACCCTAGCCTGCCACTCAGTGACTGCTCACGCGCTCATCTGTCAGCAGGGACGCTGCCCTAGGGAGGTTACCCACTCCGCAGAAAGGAAAATGCAAACAGCAGCCTCCTGCCCCTTCCATCCCATGCGGCCCTTCAAAGGTGGACCAAGAACACAAGCCACGCTCAAACCTGCGGCATCTTGGAGACCCCGCGCAAAGAGACGCGATGAGAGCAAGAGGTCAAATGGCATCGTTGCCCGCACAAGCACCTACCTCAAACATGGGAGAGGCGCCCTTGTCCGGCAACGTGCAGCCCAGGAGCTCTGCAAGAAACTTTGCCATATACAAGCAGGGTGGAGGAGGAGGGTCTCTCTTAGATCTTGTCAGGGTGCCAGGTAAATATCCTCTGGCAATAGGAGCTCAGCAGAGAAATTCTCCCTCACGCCTTTGCCATTCTTCCAGGTGTTGTCCAAGTTGCCTTCTCCCATCTTCCTGGTCCGGCATTGTAAAAGTGCTGTAGAGATTTGCCAGGTGGCAACCTGGATGGTGGTAAAAAAACCAAACACACTAATAGAGAAATGGACTAAAGAACCAGCCCTGTGCCTGGTCTCTCTGATGTTTGCTTCTAGCCTTTCCCGCTGAATGTCACTATTACCATAGCAAAGGAAAGGGGCCCCACTGAGGGGGTTGCAAGAGGGATAACACTGCTGAAGTGAAGGCAGGCAGCTGGAGACAGGCAGTGAGAAGCAGCCGGTGTTCTGCAGCAGAGGATTTACCCGGCTGGGTGACACGCACACACACAGACACACAGGAGCACAGCATCCCGGCTAGGTCAGACTCTTGCTGCCACGGCAGCGGGGATTTCCATGGCATTTTCCTTTTCGGAAGCAGCCCTTGAATAAAGCTGCCCGTCCCTTTCCCTCCTGTCAAGCACGTCCCTGGTGCCTCTGGCCAAGCTGAGCTCAGTGTCACCAGCTTGAGGGGCTTGGATGAGGGAAACACAGGCTGCCCTCAGTGGGAATGGAGTCACTGCAATGGACCAGGAAGCTTTTGACACCCGAGGGCTGCACGTGAGTGCCCCCCTAATAAAACAGACACTGCTCAGCCTTGCCCGGTCACCCTGACTCCACACCCCTCAGCAGCACCAGCACTTACAGCAAGAGCTGCTGCTCTTTTAGCAGAGCGGCTATTAAATTCCAAGTCTTCTCTTTCCAGAGAAACATACACCCTATAGGAAGTAACAGCTAATAAGTCACTCACTCCAGATTTTCACACACTGTATTTTCACCATTTTTGATGCCCCAAATGGCTCAGCTCAACAAAGCCCAATTTACTTCTGCTGAAGGCTTTTGAAGGCTTCAATATCTGAGATATAGGTGAGAGGATTCTTCTAGGAGGGGTAGGTGAGATTTTGTGGCCTGCACTGTGCAGGGGGTCAGACTAGATGATCATAATGGTCCCTTCTGACCCTGGAGTCTATGAGTCTATGAGGAAACTCTCTCCATTTCAGCAGGTGTAGAATTGTTGCTATCAGGCAAACAGAAAACACACACACACACACACACACACACACACACACACACACACACACACACAACAAGTAGTTTTGGTTTGTTTGCAATTCATGTACCTATGGTTGTCTACCCTGCCCCATCTTGAGCAAAAAAAAAAAATGCAACTGAGGCAAAGCATGGACTATTGTTGTGCCTCATTTGCATAAGTAATGAGGCTCCATTTTTGCACAAGAGGCTTTTGCACCAAAAGGAGCCATCTACACAACTCCTTTTTGCGCAAGAACCCCCTCTTGTGCAAGAGCTGTTCTTCCTCTTTTTTTCAGGAAGAACACCTCTTGCGCAAAACCGGAGCCCCATTAATTATGCAAATGAGGTGTGGCAATATTCCACACGTCACCTCATTTGCATATTTTTTGCACAAGAGTGAGCAGTGTAGACATAGCCGTAGTGTTTTAAAATAGTACGACCAAGGTTGTTTTAGAGTTGCAAAGATTTTTGTTCTATTTGTACTGCACCTACCATGATTGGGACTCTTAGGATCTACCACGATGCAAAGACACAAAATAAATGTTTCACAGGTGGTGAGGGTCTGGTTGTATGGCTAAGATTGCCAAAGCTGCCTAAAGACATTAAAATGCTTGTGAACTAGGCATGCGCCTCTCTTAAGCTGAATATTGATGAAATGCAACTGATTGGCCACGACAGTTCATTGCACTCCTCCCCTGAAGGAAACAGTAGCATCCAATGTGCATCAGACATCAGATAAACTCCCTTCTTAGAATAGTGATAGAGATGCAGCCGTGTTAGTCTGGTCTAGCTAAAACAAAAGACAGGACTATGTAGCACTTTAAAGACTAATAAGATGGTTTATTAGGTGATGAGCTTTCATGGGCCAGACCCACTTCCTCAGATCAATTTGTGGAAGAAAATTGGCACGACCATATATACCAAAGGGATACAATCAAAAAAAGTGAACACATAAAATTGACAAATCAAATTTTAGAACAGAGGGTGGGTGAGGGGGGAAGGTTAGTGTCTGAGAGGTAACCCCTCACCTCCACTCTGTTCTAAAAATTTGATTTGTCAATTTTATGTGTTCACTTTTTTTGATTGTATCCCTTTGGTATATATGGTCGTGCCAATTTTCTTCCACAAATTGATCTGAGGAAGTGGGTCTGGCCCACGAAAGCTCATCACCTAATAAACCATCTTATTAGTCTTTAAAGTGCTACATAGTCCTGTCTTTTGTTTCCCTTCCTAGAAGGCAGCTACGGACCCTGATCTTCCAATTGGATCCAGGGGAACTCTCGCACCCATGTAGACTCCCATTGACTTCAGGGGTCTCTCTGCACACATCCAACTGTAAAAACTGGCCTTTTGCTATTGTTCAATTGACTGTTGCACTAGAAACAAGTCCTTTCCCTAGTATTATACCCCTTGGCGCATGTCCACAGTTAGGGAATCCATGCTTTCTTTGGGTAATTAACTCCAGAGTCTCAAAGATAACCCAGGCAGTATTAGAAAAGACAAAAGTTGCTTTAAGAAATAAACCACTAACAAAACCAAAATACTCTACCCTCAAACTGAAACTATACCAATGCTGCACCAAAGAGCCCCAGCTTATGCAGACTGACCTAACCCAATAACGTGTGTGAATGAAATAATGTCCAGGGTTTTCAGAATTTCAAAAGAAACTGCTTCATCCTCTGCAGGCCGATTGAAGGGACAGGCAAGCAGGATTGTTGTCCTGGGCACCTTTTTCCAGAGGGGCTACTTGGCTTGGTAAGCTCTTTTAATTCACTGAGGGCAGTTTTATTTTTTTGTACTCCACTGATTGGCCCACTGTGGGATTTAGGTTTTTGGTGGAGAGGGCATCAGAAATGTTTTCTGCCCTGGCTGGCAAAAATCACTCGGACCAACCCTAAGCCAAGGTGCATTGTTATCAATTAAGTTACATCAAGGTACACGAGCTGGTCCCACATCTTCAAAAGAGTTTCACTGAACCCCAATAAAAATTATAATGATCCCAAGAGAATTTTCAAAACCATCACTACAGATAACCGGTTTAGATTCCCAGAGTTGAGGCTGAAATGGCGAATTAGGTACCATTTCCCACGTCCCAATCTTGTGGCTATTAAGAAGTTTTGTATCACAGCAAATTATAGCTCCCTCCTCAATCTTCTAAAGGAATCGGTGTTTTCAGTCAATCTGCCAGGCCTGCTTGGCTGGCGTATCTAATCTGCTTTTACTGGTGAAGAATGTGGCCCACATAAAATGAAGCACTGTGCTATCATCGTGAAGACACAACCTCATGGATTAAAAGGGGAAGAGATGAGGGCAGAGTCGAGTAATCGTGCCAATATAAAACCTCTTATTTGTAAACAGAATTGTGTTTGTGCCCAATGCAAATTGGTTTTGCAATTAAGTGAAGAACAAAAAAGTTTCACTTTATGCAAATTAGTCTGGATAACAGTGAAAGTGAACATTGCAGTCCTTAGCACTCCAGTAGGAAGTGGAATACATTGCAAATATTTTGACATATTTGTATCAGCTTCTAGGCAAACTATAGTGCCAAAAAAGCCATTTAAAATGAAAAATAAAAATCCTCTCTTAATTACCTCTAACATTATAATACAGGCTGTGCCTCCCTAAACCAGGACACTCTGGTCCAGCAACATCCATGGTCTGGCAGAACCACCAATGTTTCTGGACCACAGAACCCGGGGGCAGGGAGGTCTGGCAGTGAGGCTGGGAGCACAGCAGGGACACCGAGGACTGAGAGGGAGCCCCATGGTGGAGGGTCAGGCAGCACAATGGGGAGCTCTGGCCCAGGTGGCAGTGGAGCCGGTAGCAGCTGGGGAACCCTGATTGGGCTAGCAGCAAGGGGCCTTGTGCCCAAGCCCAGCAGCAATGAGGCCAGGGCCAGAACCCGAGCCTGGAACCAACCAGCAGGGGGGATGGGTGGGGGTCTCAGAAGCCAGTGAAAGGGGACCTCTCCTGGTCTGGCAAATCCCCTCGTTCAAGAATGGTCAAATCCCGAGGGTCCCGCACCAGGGAGATCCAACCTGTACTTAATAGCTGTAGAGTGCTATGTAAGTAACTAATTAATCTGCTCAACACACCTGTGGAAGGAAAATTGGATTTATTGACACATTGTTGGGTTCTAAATTAATAACTATTCAGGAAAGAACAAGAGCTATTCAGGAAACACAAGAACAAATGGATATAAGCTGGCTAGTAGGAAGTTTAGACTTGAGATTAGACGAAGGTTTCTAACCATTAAAGGAGTGAGGTTCTGGAACGGCCTTCCAAGGGAAGTAGTGGGGGCAAAAGACCTATCTGGCTTCAAGATTAAACTAGATGGCTGTGTCTAGACTGGCACGTTTTTCCGGAAAATCAGCAGCTTTTCCGGAAAAACTTGCCAGCTGTCTACACTGGCCACTTGAATTTCCGGAAAAGCACTGACTATCTCATGTAAAATCATCAGTGCTTTTCCAGAAAAACTATGCTGCTCCCGTTCGGGCAAAAGTCTTTTTCCGAAAGACTTTTGCCCAAAAGGGCCAGTGTAGACAGCATAGTACTGTTTTCTGCAAAAAAGCCCCGATCACGAAAAAGGCGATCGGGGCTTTTTTGCAGAAAACCGCGTCTAGATTGGCCACGGACACTTTTCCGCAAAAAGTGCTTTTGCGGAAAAGCATCTTGCCAATCTAGACGTGCTTTTCCGAAAATGCTTTTAATGGAAAACTTTTCCGTTAAAAGCATTTTCAGAAATTCATGCCAGTGTAGACGTAGCCGATGGGTTTATGAAGGGGATGGTTTGATGGGATAACATGATCTTGGTAACTAATTGACCATTCATTATGAGTGGTAAATAGGCCAATAGAGGGATGATAGGAGTTACTATAGAGAACTTTCTGGGTGTCTGGCTGGTGAGTCTTGCCCACGTGCTCAGGGTTTAGCTGATCGCCATATTTGGGGTCGGGAAGGAATTTTCCTCCAGGGTAGATTGGCAGAGGGCCCTGGAGGTTTTTCGCCTTCCTCTGTAGCATGGGGTACAGGTCACAGCTGGAGGATTCTCTGTATCTTGGAGTCTTCAAAGTATTTGAAGGCTTCAGTATCTGAGATAGGTGAGAGGATTATT